GCCCGGGGTGCCCGGCGGGGTGGGGTGCTCCGGGGGGCCGGGGGGGAAGGCGCTTCCGAGCCGCTATCCGCGTCCTCCAGGAGCCAGGGACCATCGCCAGCGCGATGCGGTGCCGTCTTGCTTTGTTTTCCGAGTTGCCAAAAAGGGGTCGGCAAGCGTCTTCGTAATTAAAAAAAAAAAAAAAAAAAAGCTCTAGCACCCCTGGGAGCTGATTGCATACGCAGCCTCACGGGTTCATCCTGGCCAGGAGTTGGCTATTCACGGGCCGAGACACTGAGAATCGGCACTCAAAGGAATTCAAAACTTGCAATTTTATTCATTCAAGGAAGAAACGCGAACTGCTTGAGCGTGCAACGCTAAGGTGGTTCTTTAAAATCATGATGCTGGACCGACCTGCAAGGTCAGGCAGCAGAGAGGCTCAGAAAAGAAGGGGGGGAAAAAAAAAAAAAAAAAGAAAACAAGACCCCAAGCACTCAGCGGGTCAGTCTGCGTCCAGACTGCACGAAGTGCATTTAAAAAATCGGTTTTAAGTTAATGCACCCACAAGATGTAGCATATCTGCGAAGGCATTGGAGAGAGGGGGAGGGGAGGGGCCGGGAGGCTTTAAATGGGCTTTTTGGTGGTTGCTTGTTTAAATAAAATATAGAACGAGACTTGTCATTTAATCCCTCAAAAGGGATGCCTTACAAATATCGATGCTGTTGGAAAATGCAAGGGGTTTAATTTTCTTGCTTTTAGTCCAAACAAAGCTCTGGTGGTGTCTGCGCGCGATCAATCTTGGCCGCCAAAAGGTTTGACAGCTACTGGCCCTTAAGAACACATTTAAAGCTTCTTGCTCTTTCCAAGATCAAATGTGGCCGAGAAAAGAGGCAGAGCAAGAAACGCAAGTAAACAAGGAAAAAAGCTGCTTTTAAAATATGCTGGCAGAGGACTGGGCTGCTTGTGGGAAAAGTCCGGTTTTATTTTGCTTCTCAGTTGCCTACCTTGGGGTAGGGCTTTTCTTTTTCTTTTCTTTAATTTTTTTTCCCCCCCTCTGGAAAATATTGGGATTAACAGCAGGATGACAAATAATAGAGAGAGAGGTTTGGACTTTAACCAGGCTTTGTGAGTAAAACCTGTGTGGGTGTCTCTATTCTGCACATTTGTTTCTTGTGGTCAGTCTAATACAAAAACCACCTGGAACAAAACCTTTGGAGAGGGGACGCGAAATTCTTGGGCAAATCAATTACTTCTGCCTCCAGAGGGATCTTTTAATCGGGCGAATCTTAAATGCAAAAATACAAATTCTTATTTGCAACCTACAGGCTCCGAAGAAAGGGACGAGTACGGTTTCTGGAAAGAAGGGGGCAAAATCGCCTGCATTTTCCTTTCTTCGGAGCGGGGGCGTGGGGGGTGGTTGGGAAACGCCAAATTCTTTCTCTTTGAACGTTTTCCTAAATGTAATTCGTGGTGCTAAAGGAGCCCCCCAGTAAGAACCACCGACTGTACCGTTACCTTTTGTTGTATCGAACCTAACCGATCCGAGGGGTGGGGGGCCGCCTTGAATTTTATACGGGCGCTCATTCGAAACGAGCAATTGTCTCGCAAGGTTGCAAAAATGCTTCCTTCGCCTACAAAATAATAATCAGTCGTTGGTTCGTATGGGGTAATAATCAGCTTTCAATGAAAAATATCGGGCTACGTAACTTTTCCTTCCACGGTTACATATCTATATATACAATAAACAGCACGGTATAAATATATTTGCAATCCCTTTCTTTGACCGAGCACGCTTTATCTGGTTATGCAGAAAAATTCTGCATAGATTCATGGATGCATGACAACGTTTCAGCATCAGGCAAGGATGGTTCTGGGAATAAGATAAAGCCCAAAGATTAATAATATTTCAGCATGAGACCAAAATGGCGACATTTTTTTCTGCGCTCTAAAAGATACAGATGGTGAACAGCGTGCGTTATTATCTACACAGCGTAGGAATATGTCTTTATAAACGTGCAGGGGTATATTTTACCTAGTCTATTAAGGTCCATTTTGATTTATCTTTCAAGTTTCAATCTAAAAATTACGGACATTTCTCCTGAAAGGAAGAAAAATCGTATTTAAGCACACGCTTGCGGGTTTCTGCCTCCCACCTCGAGCCGATTCGGACCGGAGACTCCCACGGGTGCCCGTTTGGGGCCGGG